TCGAAAATCTTCCTAGGAGTAATAATGCCATGTTCCTCGGTTCCGAGGATCAGTAACACTTTTCCTTGAAATGCAGCCTTTTCTGAATGAGAGCAGTCTTCCATAGCAAAAGATCTTCATCTCGAAGAGGTCTCTATTTTCGAAATTTTGCACTTTCAAAGAAAAGTGTATGGTACTCACCATCAGAAGAGTGAGCTAGTAAGGTTTTCTTGCTTCCCAAACAATGTATTAAATAAGAGTTACCTAAGAAAAATTCCACTTGCCGCAGCCCTATCACCTACGCCGATTTTAGACGCCGATTGCCATTCAAATTACTCACAAACCATTCAAGAAGCTGTTTTTGTGTCAGTTTTAACACAAAAATGGAATGTCAAAGGCACCGCGATTGATTAATTTTGAGGGCTTCGAAATTAATCAAGTCCTCCATGTAAAGCTAGTGTCAAAGAGATTAAGTCAGCAAACAATGTCTGATGTACGCTCTACATGCATACACGTACATCTATTGTGTGACCGGAGCTGGTTGTGCGTGAAAACGCCTTGACCATGAAAGTTCTTCAAATGTGGCCTGTTTCAGGGATAAAAACAATGATTTACTTTATGTCCTTGGGAGACTCTTGTTTCATAAGCTTTCCATAAACGTGAGGTGTTGTAGGACTGGTGATGATTCCAACTTTAGCTTGCACAGGGTACAGCGGGTATTAAGACAATATATTAGAAAATCAAGAAGTTCGGAAAATAACAACAACAAAAGAAGGCAAAGTAAACAAAACCAAGAAAAAACGTAAAAAAAGTTTACATATGCGAGACCCTCATTAACCGCCTGGCAACTTTGTCTGAACTTGTGACAACTGCTTGTAGGCGCAAGAATTTGTATTATCATCTTTTGTTGGTGTTGGTGTTTCATAGTTTCGTGTTAGGTGTTTATTTTCTCGTCTTCCATTAGTGTCCTTTGTCAGTTACCAGTTTTGTACTTGTTATATTTATTTGCATATCGTATATATATTGGTTGCGCGTAATTTATTTGGTTAGTTGTCTAGTTTGCGAAAATTATCGTTACATATCTAGCTCTGGGTTTCATGTTTTCGTCTTTGGTTTGGTCACATTCGTCTTGTAAGTATCCTTGTTTATTTCGCTTTGTCGTTTTCCAGTACTTTCACTCATACGATGTAAGTTATTTTATGCTCATTCGCGTGTTTGTAATTTTGTCATTTTCAGTTACCGTATTCAACAATGTGTCAAGTTTGTTCTAGTAAAGTTTGAAATACGAGTGATGAGCGTTTGCGGCTATACTGCTATTTGAACAAAGACTGTGCAACTTGGCTTTCAGGTTAAACAACACGATGAATGAACTTTCCTTACGTGATCTTTCATGTTAGGTGTTAATTTTCTTTGTCTGCCTCAAATTAGGGATTTATACCTTAACTTTAAACTAAATTGCTAACAGAAAGTTTAAATGACAAAGCACTTCAATTATGAAGTAAATATCATTTTATTTTCCGACAAATTTAAGATTGGGACTCTTCACTTGAAGTGACTCACTGATAGAGTTCGCTGAATGGAAAGAGTAAAACATTCAACAGTTGGATAAGTTTACCCTTTGAAAAATGACAAAAACACTCGATGTACGCTCGAGCTCGTACTAACAGCTTTCCAATAGTTTCCATTCGTAACCGAATTCTGTTAAAGAAATATTGGTTGACGGAAAATTAAGCGTGCATTGTATCACAATAGACCACTAAAGTAAACAGATAGAACAGGTACATAGTTCGTGATGTTTATTTTTTCTTGAATTTTTTCACCGCAAAAGTGGAAGTACAATGCTACAAAAAAAGAATAAAATATGTTGACTTTGAGCGGACGTAACGTGGACGCAAAGGAATGCTGTTTCATGTCAAACTTTTTGTTGAATGCAGAGGCGGGTGTAAACAATTTACTTTGAGTTTTCATTCATATTTTGTTCTGGCATTAAGTTCCGTTTCTTTATAGACAAGTTTATTGATCTAGCTTTGGCTCCTTCTCTTTAGGCGATTTGATTCCGCGCTCCATGAAGACATTCTATGTATCTAAAATAAATCATGATCAAATGATTTGAGATGACACTGAAATGTACAAAGAATTCAATTATCGAATCAAAAATGTGAACTTTCAATGCCAAAACTGATTAAAGCTATGACACAGGAAATTGTCTTTAAATTGCTGTCACGTTTCAATGTTGCAGAGGCAAACTGTTATATTCTAAAACATGCTGGCTGAAACTTTTGATGACGGGTTTTATGATGATTTACATAATCTTCTACAAGAAAGATTAATGTAAGGATATTGTATGTTAACGTCAGTGAATAAAGATAACAAGTGTGCATCGATCAGAACTGGAGGTCGTGAACTTCTCCGTAAAAATCATTGCGCAAGTATTAAGCAAACTCAAAAGAAAAGTTGTCAATTGTGTTGTATATTCACTGAGAAATTCGTATTTCATAACGATTTCGTTCCCGGTAAATTTAGTGCGATAAAGATAGTTGTAAAGATAATCTACTCAAGCATGATAATTGCCTATGTTTTGGTTTCCGATGATATTTCCATTCTTATTTTACTGAATCACAAGAAACAGAATGAATTTTGTGAATTTGAATTTTTAATACGAAGCACCTTAAATAATATATACTGTATCCTACAACAACCACAGAAAACCAACAACTACTGCTCCACCAACAACTACTGCTCCAAACCACACCGGAATCAACAATAACAGAAAAAGCAACAGCTATTGCTACACCAACAACCACCGCACCAACAACTGCAGCTTTTGAGTGTCGCGCGAATATTTTTGGGTAATGCAAGAAAACGCACCCTGGTTGCTATGACAATGCATACTACGCAGCTCTGAGAGCAAGAAGTGTAAAGTACGACAAAGGGTTCTCACCTGTATAAATAGTTTCACTTACCTTTTTTTTATTTATCTTCTTCTTCACCATTTAGTGTGCAGAACTCCTGTAAAGCGTTTTCCTTTTAAAAAGGGGAAATGTTTAATCACTCCAGAATACAGTTCATCGATATTTAATTTAGACTGGTCGGCAGCTTACCAAACATTTAACAGGAATAAAGAAGTGATGGATCAATAGATGGAAGGGGTAAATTTTGGATCAAAATAACAACTCTCAAATGCCTCACGGCCATTTTACGACGTAAAAACGGACATGGATTTAAGAAATCCTTGTCCGCGCCAAAATCCATGTGGTTTTCAGTGCGGTGAATGAAAAACAACTACGTTATTTAGGCTGTAAGGGGGTTTTCCTATCCGTCATTTGAAGGCGAACTCAGTCAGAAAAGCTATGATGAGGAGGGTCGACCCTTCAAGGTCTGCACGGACACTGTTTATATTCTCGATCAAACTGCACTGAAATGACTACCAAGTGCACATTCGACAGCTCGACAATCCTGAGTATATGCGAAGAGGGGTTCGAGGTCGTGAAGCAAAAATGTTCTTTGCATAAGCCATGTACTTTTCAAGTATGGCATATCCTATTATTTCTCGACTATGATACTAGCCAGTACCGACCAAACTCTTGCAACAGCTAAGGAAACTGAACCGTTATCTAGTCAAAGACTAACTTTGCCACGACAACTAAAGCATCAACCACACCCGGTCCAAAAACAATAATAAGAAATTACAAATACCGCTGCAACTCCCTTTCAGATAACACAGGCCAGATTTCCCCCCCCCCCCCCCCCCCCCCCCCCCCTTATATTTAAAAATACTTACTTAGACTAGTATGAGCGAAGTATGGACGAAGTATGGGCGGGATGGTGCGCCTATTTGTCATATTTTAAACGTTACGCAACGACGCAATGAAGCGTAAAATACTGCATCGTTTAACATTTATAGCCATCAGAGTCATTTACAGTTATCTTGGGAATGAGGGCAAAAACAGAAAAAGTTTATGATTTTTCTCAGAAAAAGAAAACGAAACAGAACAGTGTTAATCGAATGGCTAACCTTTTATAAAATGTAATCAGGTGGTGAAGAGCCCACATCAAAGGAACAGGCAGAGCATCCAATCACAACCAAGGATGCCAAGCGGACCACAGCACCAACAAAACCCCCTGGCACAACCAAAGAAAAGGACGTAACCACAAAAAAGAAGCCAACAGAACCTCCGACCCCACCCAAGGCAACTGAGCCGCAACCCAATCTGAAACCAACAACTCCTCAGGAAACAACGGTGAAAACTGAGCCTTCTCCTACTACTACTGAAACAAAAGCCAGTCTAAAATTCTCACCTACTACTGCAGCTCCCACCTCAGAGGCAACGACTCAAACCACGACACGTCCTAAAAGAACTCAGGATACTACCACAGCACAACCAACAACCACAGAAACACCAACAACTACTGCTCCACCAACCACAGCACAACCAACAAACACAGAAAAACCATCAAATTCTGCTCCAACAACCACAGCACAACCATCAAGCACAGAAAAACCGGCGACTACCGCATTACCGACAACTGCTGCTCCAGCTGCATCAGCTGCTAAGCCGACAACGGCAGCAGCGATTACGGACCCTCAAAGAAATATCTTAGAGTGCGGTACAGCCATAGTTGGCGCAGGTGAGATCTGGATACCACCGTTTGGCGTCAAGCTCTGCAAGGGATCGTTACTCTTGAGTATCTTAAACGTGTAGTGTTCAAGTCTCTTAAAACTTTTTTTTTCCTACTTGCCATAAATATCTTTGTAAGTAAGTAAGTAAGAGAATTTGTTATCATATCAGGATAACACTTTCAGATAACACTTTTGTCACGTTTTCAGGTAGCGTATTGATATTGTCAGAGAAAGTCAGACATTGATCACGTCGTGATGAAAAACAAAAAAATGGCAGAAAGTTTAATCTGTACATATTGGTCACAACTGGTTTTCAGGATAACACAGAAAACGATGTGACGGTGCGCATCTGCCTTTTTATAAAAGCTCCTCAGAGGAAATGTAATCGAGTGGCCATTCATTTGAAAAGCGGCACTTTAGAAGCACGAGTAATTCTTTTGATAACCTCTTCAATTTTTCTAAGTCTATTTTCTTAAATTATAGGTACGGGTGGCTTATTGGTGGCATATTCACTTTTTGACAAGACGAATGAAACAAACGTCTGTATCTTCGACACAGAGGACAGCGTTGAAAACATTTATGACCATGTTTTTCCCCAAGTACCGGATGTTGTAGCTGATAAGTTTAACATAACACCAGGAGTCAGGCTTTATCTATGTAGCAATCAATAGCTATCGTTGAATTAAGGACTAAAGAGCTATTTTACATCGTTTACGCGCTCCATCAACGTATGAAGACAACGGTTCCTTTTTTATCTTTTTTATTTTACTTTTTTTTTTTTTTTCAGGCTTAGGACAGTGGGACATTTCCGGTGACAACTATGCAGAACAGTAAGCGTCAATTTATCTAAAATGTATTGCTTAGTTGGTAGTCAAAAGATATGAATCGTGACAGGTTTTTTTGAAATGCTCCATGGCTACTAAGAAATGTTACGAGTACAAAACTACGTCTTTATCTGAGAGCCATTTCGCAGAAATGTCCTTAAGTATAGACGCTGACAGTGAAATTTATACATGAAATATAAGGATACCCAAGCATAGATGAGCTACCAGAAAATAATTGATCGTTACAAGTGAACCTGCACCCTGGACTTATTTGTCTTATTTAAGCGTCTAAGGGATTAAAACGGATTGGAACCAAGTCCCTGCTAATATTCATTTGGTGCCACTGCTAACGGAGCAACATTTCGAGAACGAGGCAAATTTTTGTTGCTTGTTTATCAAGCGCAGACTTAACTCTGAATTATTTCATCGATCGAATAAAAAACGATAACGGCAACGAATAAGGAGGGCTAGTAATGGAGACCATAACATCGCATTGCAAATTAAAATTTTTAAGAGATTATGACAGAATGTAAACTACGAACAAGTTACGACGTAGACACTAATTAGAAGGAAAAAAGTACGATTAAATTAATTTTTATTTTCATTTTCAGAGACCTTTTACATCATTTATTCAACTATAATGACGTCTTGTGGAACTCAAAAACTAAACGTGTTGAAGCTCGTAGACAGAATGCAAGTAGCTTTGATGATTTGAAATTAAAGGCATTTCCAACTTTACGGGATCATACGCCACTCAACAATAAAACACTCACAGAAACTGCAGCTTTCATCAGTATGAATGAGAGGAATTTCACGCAGTTCTCAACCGCAGAGACTTTCCTTTCGTACGGACTGTCCCCGGAGGGAACCAAGCTTATGGCAGAAAAGTTTGGCTTCAAGGGTGACTACATGCAAGCCATAAATCCAATGTGTTATAGAACTTATCTTGAGAAAGAATATTACGTGAACTCCGCATCATTAGATGCGAGAAGGCCCCCTAATTCCAAAGGATTGTCCGAAATTGTCACAGAGCTCACCAAAAAAGTGGAAAGAGGAGGCGGTAAAATTTATCGTAAAGACACAGTTGCTTCGATCACCAAAGAAGGACATCAATTTCTTCTTCAAACTACCAAATTAACTGTGATAGCCAATAAAACAGTTATCACTGTTGGACCAGCCGCACTGAAGAAGATCGAAATATTCATTCGAAATATTACAGGCCAACAAATATTCGAATCAATTGTTGGTGTGCCTGCATTCTACGGGGCAGCGGTATATGATAAGCCATGGTGGAATGATACAACTGCTACTCAAAATAGTAACAACTTGCAGCCTTTGGAAAAGTTCATATCCGATAGGGACTTCCTGGGAATTACCATGCCTTACAAGTTAGTACCCATAACTCGTTACAATCTTCCATAAAGTTGAAAAATATGCTTCAATATCTCCACGGTGAATGCATACGGGTATTTGAACTTGATAAGAATGGTTTGTTCAAATTCCCGCACTACTGGGCCAAAATTGCGTCCAATGCCCTACTCAAACACAACTTTTTTATTAAACGATTCTTTGTATAATTAATGTTGCAGAATTTAGCAGTAACACACATAGTTGTTTGTGCTGCTGTCGGATTATTTCTCTTGTAAGCATCAGTTTTGCGATAGGAGAGTATTCTTCTAAGCCATCTGCTCAGGAGAGCGGACTCTTCACCTCTAAACTCTCCCATATATAAAATCAAAACACGTATTACATGGATTCAAATTACACACACTACTCAGAAAAAGTTCGAATTTCCCACCTCCGTGTCGCGAACGACAACCTCAAATTTCCATTGGTAGCCTCGGGGGATGTTGAAACGTCGAGTCGGTCTGTGCATAATTTCCCTCTGCGTAAAAAAAAGCTCACTTCTACAATGTTCTCCAGTGTATCTTATGAACGAGCAAGCTTAATTCCACTTGTGAAATAGCATCAAAAGTTTTGCGCAGTAGGGATTGAAAATTGAGGAACTGGGAAATATCACACTGATACTTCTAATCCAGAATACGATGAAGCACATTAAGCCATGTGATGTTTTTTTTGACATATCTCGGGCCAAAATAATCAATAAACTACATTGTATTATTGTGACGTATGACTAAAAAGCCTGTCCCTGTTCATTATTTTTATGATAGTGGTAATGGAATCAGCGGAAGAGTTGTGCTGCACACAATAGCCAATAACGGAGGATGCAGCGATAAGTGGGGGAAACTTTTGGAGATTTCTCAATCTAATGATGTCATCGACAAAGAACTGAAACGCGCTCTGAAGTACAAGTTTCAACGTGGTATTCCCGATCCTTTGGAGACTACGTACAAATATTGGAAGGAAGGGTTTTGGTAAGTGCAGTGTTGGAAAATATAAAAAAGTATGATAATGGCAAACCTACTTCAAGTGTTCCTAAGACAGTTTTCCGCTCGATTCTCAAGTTTTAATCTTTTTTCTCGTCAACAGCAATAATGTGCATCGTTCCCGCTCAAAACCTATGCTCTAAGTTTTCGGATTCAGTTGTATAATTCATGTTCATCACAAAGAATTGTAAGATCATTCATTCCTCGTCCGTGTAGGCTTTCTAATCGATATCTGCTGAACGCGATGCGTGTGGATGTGGACGAACGAGCGGCCCTCCATTTTTCGCCAGCAGTCGCTTCGTTCAGCTGATATTTAATGAAGAGCTCCTGAGAAGGAGAGAGAAGTTAGGTGCCAACGAACGAGTGCCACTTTTTACAGGTTCATTTCTACGCTTTTCTTTTTTTCCAAGAATAGTTCTGATTGTTACATTTTCATCATTCAATGACGTAGGTTTCTTCAGAAGCCTGGGGCCAACTTTAACTCAACGGCCATTCGGCAGTGGGCGAGACGACCGCTGACCGGACAAGATGTGTTCTTAGTGAACAGAGCGTATTACGATTTCGGTGGATATCTGGAGTACACCATACGATCTGCTTTTGAGGCCGTACAAGAGGGTTGGAATTCTGAGCTTGTAATTGATATATACGATCCGTAAAGGCGCTGAATACTTAGATTTTCTGGTTGATATTGATGGCATGAAAAGAAAATTATGGTTTTGAAAAATAGTTAACATAGATTAGAAATGATGGTAGTATGTGCGTTTAGAGGCGCTAGTTTTTTAAAAAGAGCCGTGTGAATTTCTTAAGTCTTTGAATACATTACGACACCAAGTAAGAAATCAAATGAGAAAAATGAACTAAGCATTTAAGGAAGCATTTAGTTTAAAGGAGACTGCGTCAAAAAGTTTGCCGAAAGATATCGACTTCTTTTCCGGGATTGCCTTAGAATTAAAAAAAATATACAGATAGCCTCGAATCAGCTTTGTAAATATTGATGAACTTTTAATTCTGATATGTCTCTTTATCCAGCTTAATAACGATCATTTAATTTTTTTTCCTCAATTAGTTTACTGAAGTATTAAATGTAGCTTTGTCGAGTGTCAGTATACGTAGAGAACAATCAGTGGGATCTGATCATTTGTAAAGAGATGTAAAACTAATTCGTTTAGGGTATAACTGATAGGTTTAAGTAGTTGATAAAATATTCTTGTCCGTTACCTGTCCCACAAGGGTCTTGAAGGCGACTTAAGTAGCGTTCATGTTCGGTTTCGTTCGCGGAAGAGTAATTATGTTGGGGGAAAGCTCTCCATTTTTTTCCGAGAGATGCTGCATGATGAAAACCGAAGACCCAAAACGGAAGATCCACGCAAACTAATGTAAACAACATGGGGATGACGACTGACTCATTAGACGTTCGGTACTGTGCGCTGTGTACGTGTGAGGCGTCGAAATACACCTTATCAATAGGTGTCTTCTTTCGGTAGGAAAAGCAGGGTCAGACTACAACAAGAAGATTGTCGCTAAATTCATGATAACGCCCACGATAAATCTCTACTAAGTTAGGTCTTTTGGTTTACTTATTTATGTTTCGCTTTGTCGAGTGTTTGTTTGGTTTTGTTTGGTTAATTTGTGATCCATCAAGTTCTAGTGACGTACCAGTAGCTTCGAAACTTTTAAAGTTAGTACTCTAAGGTTTGCATAACTTTCTCGAATTCTCTCAACCCCTTAGTGTTAAATGAAGTAATATAACCGAAAAAGTCCAATATTGCTTAGTTATACGTTTTGGCGTGAAGTATCGCTAGATATTAATATTAAAAGAGCTCTCAAGTCTTACACATGTGGCGTGAGACTCACGAAAGTATATTCAGCTTTGAGCTCTCACGCCGAAATTTTTAATTTTCATGATCACACATTTAAGGTTTCTGATTTAAACTGTTTATCATGAGATGGCAAACTTCCGACAGCCGCAGATAAAGTTTAACTTGGAAACGTTTGAAACCTTATTTGACAGGTTGATGTTTCATGAGCCAATCGGATGCGAGCGTGACAGATTTACCAGATCATAGTCTTAGATGAAACAAATCTTATTTGACCTACGAATGAAAATCAAGTAAACCAATAATTCTCGCATGTGAGCTGCAATTCCTCCACGGAGAAGAGGAACCCTTTGAAATTCCTACCGCCCCCAAACTTTGGATTCGTAGCTCAGTTGACAATAGCGCCCTACTAGTATCTGAGAGGCCTGAGCTCGAATCCTGACGAAGCCTGAATTTCCTTAAGGCTTCTATTCTCTAATTGCTTAACTTGCTGCTCACTTACGAGGATCACTGCTTCAGTTGATTTCTAAGAATTGATAGATTTTATGACTAAAATTAAGTTACAAAACAGCTTGACATGCTCAGTGACCTATATGGATCTAATTAAAGTTTCAAAGTTCTACCTCGTAGATGTAAGGCGGAAATTCAGCACCATCAGGTTAATACCAACTTATGTCAATCCCGTCAATGGAGTACCGAGGATTGTCTTTATGGAAAGGTTTCACGATTTCCATCAACACATTAGAAAGCATAAAAAATAGGGTTGATTTCGGTTAAAAGCCGACATGAAGCATGCGCATGGCATGCTTACCCCTTGACACAAGAAACGGATGATTCAAAATTCTAATGAAGATTTACAAAAAGTCCAAACTAAAGCTAGAGACATACATGTCTCATTAAGTCTTGAACTCTCACTGATATAGATTTCTTGTGTGGTGTTTATGATTTACTGGGATTTGACTTTCTTCTACTATTTCCAGTTTGTATAAGGTACTATTTTCAGGAAAAATTACCTGTCTTAGAACAACGGATAAGTTTACTGGTTTAGATTTCCTATGTGGCACAATTTTTATTAACCAGATAACTCCCTTTGTCGTTTTGTCATGATATCTGTAGTACCAGACAGAGTTACTTGTCACAGGACTAAAGATACGTTTGCCATTCTCTTCAAAATAGGGCTGAAAAACTGCTGTGATGCATTAGCCAATGTGTAAAAAATAATATCTATGGTGACTAGGACTAAAAACGCTTTGATCTACTGTGCTACAGTGTTCCTAAAAAATCAACAGAAGAGGATCATAAAAAGTCTTACACAGAAACATTTAATGATTATCACAGGTAAACAGAAAACATTTTAAATGGAACACTAAACAATTTGCTTTTTTGCATAGTATATTGATTGGACTTTTCCTGGTTTCCTTTGTTTTGAATATACATACTGTTACTGTATTTTAACCCTCTACACCCTAACATCAGTATGCATATTCTCCCTACTCAAATCTATACATTTCATTAGGCGCTATAAAAAGGAGAATTTCCTTTTATCTCGTGACCTTAACGTGTGATTCACGGCTATATTGATCAGCCTCAATATTTTTTGACGGGGTAATGAAAAATCAGTCCATGGAAGACCTCCCTACTTTGGAGCATCTGTGCCTTCGCCGCTCGATATTTTCTATTTCGTCGGTACACCGTAAAAATCTCACGTTAAGTCCCTGCTTTTAAAGATGATTTTGAGGAAATATGAAAAATCAAACGATGTGATAATTATCAAAACAATTACGCTAAGCGTTAAAAAAATACTAACAGTTTCTCAATTCATCGGGGGCTTTACGATAACGGTGTATTTTATAACTCCGTTCGTCTACTGACGCACAAGCATTGATGCAGTGGGAAGCCACTTAATTTGTCGGATGGATATATTATTTCTAACACAATAAGAACGAGGTTTGTGAATATCATAATGATCCGCGATGAATATGTAATTAGGGAAATTAGAAGTAGGGAACTACAAAGGAGTACTAAACTTTTAAAGTTACGTTTGGCTTCTCGGTTTCGTTTTTAAATGGCATAATGCTAGTATATCAGGAATTCCTAAATGTAAGTGAAGACACATTAAAACTGCAATAGCTATTAGATTGCATAGTGTGTTGAGGCTTTCTCCTCGCCCCTTCCCCGAAAAAGTGCAACGCCAGAGAATGGTTGAGATTGATGCATTTTGGCACAGCTTAACAAAAACCCAGGTTTCTGATCCTTTTTTTTTTTTTTTTTTCAATTCAATTGGTGGGGGAAGTCGGAAAGCGGGGGTGGGGGGGAAGTAGGGGAGGCGGGAGAAAAAATAACAGGAAGAGGGTCGCGGTGACCCCCTGTTCACCGCCTCCCTCCCTCCCATTCCCCACTGCACTGGTTATGAAGCCCAATAAATTAAGAAAATTAGCACAAAACTCCTCTACAGAATTGCAATTTTGTAATCGCAAAAAGCTATAGATCTGGAAACTCCCATCGAAAATCCCCAATCTAACATGTCCATTTGCGACCAAAGATCCAAAACCCAAAAACAAATGCCAAAATGGATGGTGCCTATTTGGAATGTACAACTGCCATTGGAGGTTTATATCGAAAAAATTATCATCAGAAAGCTTAAGTGACCTTTATTCTCGAATCTCCCAACCAGGCCTACTTGAGAGAGAAACAAATATTTGAAAAATATCGTGAGAGGGAATGGTTTGAGAAACGATAAAATTATTTATATCACTATTATGATTATTATTATCATAATTGTTATTATCATCATCATTATTATTATTATCATTGTTATTATTTATTTTTTCAATGCACCAGTAGATTTAGATATAAAAGAACAGAAAACCCTAATTTCTAAGAGAAGGTGAATACTAAGGATAAATCCTTTGGCTCCGTATAAGCAAAAGCCAACACCGCAAATTCAAATTCGATCTGAAAACAGTGGACAGGAAAAACCACCTAGTGGAATGTTCGTTGTTAAATTCGGTCACTATTTATGAATCAGTTACTGGAAATGCATTATGGCAAGCAAACTTTATCAAGGTATAGAAATAGATTGAAACTTGCTTTTAGTTCATCGGGTTCCGTATACTAAATCTCGGGAGAAACTGCAAGAATTATTTCAGAGTGTATGCGTGTTGTTTTGTAAATATAAACACTGCAATCTATTTTAACTTGTTTTTGTGTCCTTTCAAACAACACGATATGTCTTTTATGACCAGAGTGCCAAATTTTATTCTCTAATTTTCATCTTCTCCACACTGTGCATAAATCATGACCTGATATTTCAACGTAAATTATCGTACAAAGTAGTGAATTTTTGATATGCAAATTAAGGTCAAAGAGCAGGGTCTCCTCTGATCACGCTGGTATGAAAAATATTTTAGCTGAAGTTTCCATATTTTGTCTCTGAACTAACTGAATACATCTTGTAACTTGTAGCAAGATAGAATTCCGTGAGCTACATTGTTGCAGTCGCTGCGCGCTGGACGAAATCTTTGAAATTGACACTTTCGATCGCTGTTCACAGGGGTGGTCTGGCCAAAAATGATTTTTGGCTTGTGGCGACGCAAAAAAAAAAAATTGGAGAACAACTAAACTATTTTTGAAACATGTGCCCTAAACCCTTTTCATGGGCAAAAAATAAAAGAGAACTTTTTTTCCGACGGGAAGTCGAGAGGACCGCTCTTAGCGGGAGCGGCACTTAAGTTGTAATATCTTTTTCTCGTCAACAGCAAACAGCAATGATCTGCCTTTGGTTTCGTCTCAAAACCCATGCTCTAAGTTTTCGGATTTGTATAATGCGTATTCAGTGCAGGAAAATGTGAGATCATATCTTCTTCTTCCGTATAGTCTCTCCTATTGATATCTGCTGAACACAGTGAGTGTGAATGTGGATGAACGAGTGGCCCTCGATTTTCCGCCCGCAGTCGTTTCGTTTAGCAGATATTT